GTCTTAAAACATGATACTAAAGTACTCTCCCATCTTTTCAGATTTGAGAAAATTTTATCTTTCTGCCTAAGTTGATTCTTCTTATTCGCTCTGCCATACATTGGGATGTTTTCCAATGTCTCAGAATTACATTTAAGCTTGTAAGTATAACCATATTTACTGAGCCTTAGTAAATAATGAAGAATAGTCTTATCGATCTTTTGTGGTGGACTTAACCAGTGCACAAGAATGTGTACTCCATACTTTAGTCCTTTACTTGACTCACACATCTATGTGAACAAGTAGTTAGTCTTAATTTTTACAATGCTTGAAAGTTCTCATTCATCATGCTATAAAACTTGCATGATTCCAAGTTCCGGTCCAATTGAAACTTGGGTGATGAGGATCTTTCCTTATTTGGTAAATTTAGATATTACCACAAATGAAAGAATCAATTTCATACTTCCACTCTTGCTATTAATGGAATCATATAAGCAACAATTTTTTTCACAAACGCCATTGTAAGGATACATAAAATAAATAAACTCAAAAATTTCCTTTTATTTTTTAAAAGTTTGCGGAAAAACTTATCCTTACATTCCATATGAAAACTTGTTGTTATCTATTCCTAAGCAATATCTCATAATTCCTAAGACGTAGCTCAAGAATTCGATCTTCAAACTATGCGATAGAGATCCATCTACGCGATCAGATTCAACATATTGTTTCTTTAAGTTCCTTCACTTTTCTTTGATTCTTAAAACATCACCATGTGACCCAGTCACATCATATATGAAGAATCTCAGAATAGAAACTTAGTAGAGTTAGATAGTGGACTTTACCTGAAGTAGAGTCAAACTTATTGACTTTAACACCCTTAGGTAAATTGGCAGCTTCGCAACAAATACCCCTTCCTTTGGGAATTTAACATATGGACGCTTTGGTATTGGAACATGGGACTATCACAGACTTAGCCTTTCTCTTTACCATTTGGTCAATCGAGTTGACTATGGCCGATCCCTTTCCATTGGGAAGAGAGAGATTTACTGGATATCCAATGTCATCATTGTCAATGTCTATAAAGTTTTGGAAGTTTATCTTAGCAAATAGATAAGATCATTATGGGTCTTTTCATAGTCTATTTCATAGGAGTCCCAACGGAACTCACTATGTGACTTAGAAAGTAGTTGAGCCACCAAATTTCTCAAGACTTTGACACCCAACTCTCCCGACTTGTCAATATGTGACTACATCTCCAAGATGTGATCACACATAAACCTTTGCTTGCTAATGGGGCTTGAGTGACCTTAAACTTTTCAAGAACATGTGGGTTAGGAGAATAATTGGAGGAGGTGAAAGAAGTATGATTTCCATGGGACATCATCTTCATTTAGGAATGCTTGTTTCAAGAGATTTGGGAAGATCATAAATGGCTAGGACCCAACACAATACTTTTAAAACTTGGAAGAGGGATGCAGTAATCCAAGCTATAAAATATTTGAAGGTAGGTGAATGACGATTCACCAATTTCCACCAAGATAAACAAAATGTATTATTAGGTTTTAATTAGATTTGAAACTCCTAGATCTTTTGAGATTCATTGAACTTTTCAATCGCATGTTTCAATCTCGAGTGTGCCCTTCACGTTTTGTGACTGGGATGCCGAGGATCACAAAACAAGGTGTGAAGTAACCATGCAAATATAATTGGCACCATTAATATTTACCCCTTAATCGATGTGTCGGTTAACCACACACGCTCCACCGATACTATGATAAATATTAAGTTACCCTTTGCCTACCTTGTTAAGTTCATGTTAGTGTGCCGGTTAACCACACACACTCCACTAACGGATTAAACAAAGTGAAAAAGTGTAATTTCATGGATTAGCACCTTATTCCCTTTATCCTAAGTAATTAAGATTGGGTATTAATAAGAGTTTAGTTACTTAGCATTTATCATTAATACTTTTAATGAAGGGATAATTCTAGTCCTTGTCCTACCCGTTCGGCTAACGACCCTCCACCAGTCAAGGAAGCGGTGGGTGAGAGTGGACACCCATTAAACTGCCATTTTATAGGCAATAACCTTATACCCCCCCTTATATACCGACTTCATGAATGAGGTCTACTAATGGTAAGATTGACTTGCTCTTATACACACACACACACACACACACACACATATATATATATATATATATATATATATATATATATATATAACTTATAATATTATAAAGTATAAGGGTTGAATTTTAACTTTTAAAATCCTAAGGGCTAACTTGGAATTAAAGTATTCATAAGTGAAAACTTTGCAAATTCCAAAACTTGAGGGAAAGTTTTTGAAACTATTCAAAACTAATTAATTTCCATAACTAATGTGTTTAAAGTAGTTTTAATCCAAAAACTCTTCAAGTTCCATAACTGAGGACAAGTTATGGAAGACTTTAAACTAATAAAAGAATGTAACTTTTCTTTATTTTGTAACTTATGGAATTAATTAAGGTTACACATTTTATTACTTAATGAAGTGACTCTTGAACCTCCATAACTTGAGGACAAGACTCTTCATTTTTTGTAACCATTGCCAACTTTTATGAAGTTTATGAAACTTAAATATGCCCTTTCATGTAACTTGAGGACAAGTTACACAAACACATTTTAGAATCATGTCTTAGGTTAAAATGGATTGAAAACACATAATCAATTAACTTATCTATTAATCTAAGCAACTCATATGAAAAAAGATAATTCACATCAAACTTTTTCATGTAATAAGCATAACTTTTAAGCAAATACAAAACATGAATCTGTTGACAATTATCTTTGAAATTGGATTAGCATGAACATTCCCACATCAAAAACAAGTTTATAAGTTCAAAAACAGGTTAGGATAATGTTCCTAGTCCAATTCCAGCCAAAACAGAAAACAACAAGCTATTAGCACCCAAAACTCGTCGAGTTCACTACTAGAAAAATAGCCTTTTACGACGCGCAAATTACGACACTCATTAATTTATGTTATGCAAACGAGAGTGACATTAAAAAAGGGTCATCTCTTCAGAAAATTTAAGGATTTAGGTCACTTATTATTGCGCGCCTTTAAATTAGTGTCAAAAGAAAAAAAATTAAAAACACGGAGGGCGCTGTACCTTAAATGCGCGCCCTCTATATGTGTCGCTTTATAATTTTAATGAACGCGCGTTCCTTAGTTACAAGCGGGAAAAGTAAAGCCAAAAAATTAGAAAAGCCCGCTACCCTCCCTGCCCTAAGCATTTTCACGCATCTTTCATTCTCCTCACACTGTTGTGCAACTTCTCAATCAAAGATCGAAGGTTACGATTTCATCTCCATCTCTCTACTTCATCATCTCAATCAAGAAAAAGGGCTTCTGATTTCCATTCATCTACTTCATCGTTGCTGTAATTTCACCTTCTTCATCTCTCTGCTGTTCTTGAGAATACTCGCCAACAGTTTTCTTGCACTATTCCTTGACCTGCTTCCTTCTAGATACGCTTCTTCAAATAACTCCAACAACAACAAACCCCAATCCTACACCCCTCATCCTCTTCCATGGCATCGTCAATTACCGGCGATGTCATATACCACCATCTCTCCGATGAATTCTAATTTTTCGGCTTTAATTTGTAAATATATCCCACGTACGATCTTCAAAAAGCTTCCGGTGGTAGATCTAGCATGGTCAGCATGTGTGTGCAAGTTGAGGAGTTCAGTAGCTTCTGATCAAGAGATTCAGGTTAGGGCTTTCAAGGCGCCGTGGAAACTGTAATGGTGTTCATTGTGGCAGAGGGATTAGGGTTTCTAGAGTGAGAGACGAAAGGGGAAATTGGTGTAAATGTCTGCAGAAGGAAGCATGTAATGTTGTTCTCTCTTAACTGACGACTTAGGGTTTTAACTTTCACCACTGCTGCTGCTTCGCCACCTAAGCGAATCGACACTCATAACGCACCTTCCACTGCGACGAAGCACTAGGATGCTTTATGATTGGCCTCGCATCAAGGTTCCACAGAGCCCAAATCATTCGAACTAGAAACCTTCAGGTACTATCACTACAAGATCTCACCTCCTCTCCCCTTGCCGACAACATCAGGTCCGACGACCTTAGGATTACTTCTTCTATTGCTCTAATTTACAAGCCCTATGTCTTATTAAGGTGTGTTTCGGTTTATTTTTTTCCCTATGTTTTCATTCTTCTACCAGAACCCTATCTTGCTAAATCCTTTTGTTTTCGCAGCTAATTTTTTTCTAGACCAAGATTTTGTAGACAGGAAGCAGGTGGAAGAGAAGCCCTAGACCAAGATTTTGTAGAAAATTTTGGTGTTGAATCAACAATAGTTTGTTAACAGGTTTTCCATTTTAATCATTCATTTGTTCTTCCCACCATTTTTATTAGGTTCTCAATTTACTTAACAAACTTTAGTCCAGTTCTTCTCAGGTACTCATGCCATTACATGTGCCCTGTTTGCTTTCTTGAGGCCTAGTGATGAGGCACTTAATCTATTCATTTAGAAAGCATAAAATTTATTCATTAATTTTTATTAGCTTTTGGCAGTTGGGTCATCACTGACCAGCTGTACAGTTTTACAATGACAAAAACAAGTATAGGTAAAACAAAACACTAGTTGTACAGTTTTACTATGACAAAATCAAATATGCCATTGGAATATTCTGAATCCATACACCTATGTGATCTACTTTCAGCAAAGTTGTATCTAATTAATAGAAAGGGTTTTTCCTATATGTTCCTATACAGATTAAGCATAACAATATGGAAAAAGACTAAAAAATATGTATGAAAGATGTATGTATGTATCTTTTTTATTGTTTACATCATGACCAATCAGCAGAGGTGGTGGCAATAGCATAACATAACCAAATAAAATATTGATTCATGCCACTCCTTCCTAAATCACCTTTTTTTCTTTTTGTTTTTAATAAAATAATATAATATATTTGACTGATTACCGATATCATCATCTACTATAGTGAAAATGGTTGATGCAGTTTGATCGTCAAACCTTATCCATTGCAATGCGTTTCTTGATGGCCAAAACTCCAGAGCAAAGGGCAGCTGTTGATCTGGACACTCATTACACACAGCTTAGGTTTCATTCTTTTATACCATATCATATGATGATGATGCTTATATTATCCATTATCCAATCCTACATACAGTTTGAACCTCACCCCATGTATCTATGCAGGAATATCTTGAACAACATATTGGAGTTAAAACAAGAAGACAGGTATTATATCAGGGATATGTGGAAGGGATATCAGCTACTGGGATGCAGTCAAATCATGGGTTTGATGGCCAGTCAAATCATGGGTTGTGAGCACCTACTGTGATCATGTTCATGCTCTAAGCAAGGGGGTGTCTGCTCGTGCTATGATGAGCGAGTTGTTTGGGAAGAAAACAGGGTGTTACTGTGGTCAGGGTAGATCCATGCACATGTTCTCTACTAAACACAATGTTCTTGGAGGGCTTACCTTTATAGGAGAAGGCATCCCTGTTGCCACAGGTGCATCATTCAGTAGCAAGTACAGGAGAGAAGTGTTGAAAGAAGCAGATTGTGATCATGTGACATTGGCATTCTTTGGAGATGGGACCTGTAATGATGGGCAGTTCTTTGAGTGTTTGAACATGGCAGCTCTATGGAAATTGCCTATCATATTTGTGGTGGAGAACAATCTGTGGGCAATTGGGAGGTCCTATCTGCGTTTAACTTTAGATCTAGAAATCTAGAAGAAGGGTCCATCTTTTGGGATGCCAGGTGTCCATGTTGATGGCATGGATGTGTTGAAGGTGAGGGAGGTAGCAAAGGAGGCTATTGGGAGAGATAGGAGAGGAGAAGGCCCAACTTTGGTTGAATGTGAGACTTACAGATTCAGAGGACACTCTTTGGCTGATCCTGATAAGCTTCGTGACCCAGGTGAGTTGCTTTTAGTCTTTTACTCTTGTATATACGTAACATTGAAATTTGTTGTGATTGTATATTTGTATTGTGAATTGCAGCTGAGAAGGCTCATTATGCAATAAGGGATCCAATAACAGGATTGAAGAAATACCTAACTGAAAACAAATTGGCAAGTGAAGCAGATTTAAAGGCGATAAAGAAGAAGATAGATGAGGTGGTTGAGGAAGCTGTGGAGTTTGTAGATGAAAGCCCTGCTCCTTCAAGAAGCCAACTGCTGGAAAATGTGTTTGCAGATCCAAGAGGGTTTGGAATTGGACCTGATGGAAGTTACAGGTGTGAGGATCCTAAGTTTACTGAAGGTACTGCTCAGGTCTAGTCTATTGCTAAGCTTTTGTTTCTTTTCTTCTCATGTTGTCTATCTTATTATTATTATTATGAATTGTTAATCATATCGGTTACATAGAGTTATATATGATTTTGTTTTTGTTGTTTTAATGGATTCCTTTTGATTATCTCTCTTTTATTGTCAGTGTCTTGTTTATCTAAAATTAATCAGTTAAAAAGAAATCGATGTGTGAGCTACTTTTTCTTGTTCCAGAATAGATTTGTTAAGTTCCATTTAGATGTTTTTTATTAGATACACAAAAAAAAATCACATTTTGGAAAAGAATGATGGAAAAGCTTGATGGGTATTTGTTGGGAGAAAGGGCAAATTGGTCATTTGCTTTCATACTGTCTAGAAGTAGTTGGTTTGTAATTTTCAAAGTATGATGTCTTGATATGAAACAAAAGAAAGTACAATGTTGTAATTGGATGGACATAAAGTACATCTCCTGTAATTTGTCCATTTATTTATATTCTCGCATCATTCATTATATGGCTGGAAACATATTGAGCAGTTGGGAACTACCAATGGAAAAGATTATTGGTTGTGCATCAACTATCTTGGATGAAACCATAAAATGAAAGTACGCATCCCTGTAGCCTTTACTGATACAAATCTCTTTTATTAAGAAAACAAATTCATAATTTTATTCCTAAAAATAACTAGAAAGTTATCTTTTATATTAAAGTCTTATTTGGGTTCTAATGAGTTGTATTATGTTTAATTTTGTGTATCTGTAAATAAAAGTTCTTTATTAAAAAAATTTCATTCCATCCCTATTCCATGATAACCAAACATTACGTTTGTGTTTGATATTTGCATGTAATGATTGATTGTACACTTGATAGGTTTGTTACTTCACTCGTGTGGTGAAAGTTGCTGATGTAGCTGGTATTCTAAGGACTAAAAGTCCTAATCTATTCTGTCAATTAGGATTGATGCATATATTTGTAGTTCCACGTGCTTCTCGTGTGATTGGCATGATCACCAAAAAGGACTTGATATTTGAGGTATCTCTATCTAACTTTTGTATATGTAATATATTTATTAAACCTCATATTTTTTAGTAGCAAATTTTGTCATTTATTTGTAAATTTCTGACTTTAGGAGAAATTAAATGAAAATTTAATTTAAATATTAATAAATATATAAATTTATTTTTTTAAACATTTAAATTTACGATACGCAAAAATGTGTGTCATCTTCATTTATGACATGACCTTTCTTGACAAGGGCATTCTTGATACGCATTGCGTGTCATTAACACGCGCGTCGTAAGGTTATGACACGCAAATGCGTGTCGTCTTCCTTTATGAGAGGACCTTTCTTGATACGCATTGCGTGACGTAAACGCGCGTCGTAATTGCGCGTCGTAAATGCGCGTCGTCTCTCTTTATGACAGGGCCTTCCTTGACGCGCATTTGCGCGTCGTCCGAGCCCTTTACGACGCGCAATGAGCGTCGTAAAAGGCTGTTTTTCTAGTAGTGGTTCATTCCCAAAATGATGATCTCGTCGAGTTTTTTGCATAAAATCATCGAGTTTTATGGTTTGGACAGATTCAACTTTGAAAAAACACATTTGCATCAAGTATAAGAGAAAGCGAGCCTAGGCTCTGATACCACTGTTGGGTTTTGAGCATTGTAACACTCCTAAGTGTACATGCAACCCTAAATACCTTGGATCTATGTTTTCTCTATTATACATGCAAATATGAAATTTCCAAGGTATTTATCCTAGCTAGCATAATAACATTGATTCGTATGAATATATCAAGTTAGAATTACATACCTCTTTGATGTAGAATGTCTTCATGAATCTTGAGTGCCTAGTGCCCCAAGTGTGACACCTCAAATGGTTCACACAACACCAAATGCACATGGAATCACTTGAGAGAAATAGAAAACTTGATGAAAATCGGCTAGCCCTTTCTATTACCCACAGTGGCCAATTTTCTCCAAGAATAAGATCATTATATAGTGAGGGTTACACCATGTAAACCCTAATTGTCATGGCCTTTCATTTCCATGATCCATGGGTACAAATACACCATGGAGCATCCATGGAGCATCTTATGGGTTTTAGCCCAAGTTGACAACCCATGGAGCATTAGCCCACTATATAAGTATGGATGATTTACATAATCAACCCATATATTTAATTAGTCTTCTTTTGATCACTTAATTAATCCTAGATTAATTCTTGATCAATACTAATTAAATAATATTATTAATATATTAGAACGTATAATATATTAACAAACCTTAAGTGTTAATTCTCTCATTATAGTCTATCCAAATGCATGATGCCATGTAACCCAAATGGACCATGCCGGGTTGGGTCAAGTCTTACCAATTATAGTTATGGACTTAAACATTAATCCAACAGATCCACTGGGGGATATGCTATATATCTTGGTTCGAATTTAGTTTCTTGGTCAGCAAGGAAACAAAAGATTGTCTCTCGGTCATCCACTGAGGCTGAATATAAAGCCCTAGCTGATACTGTTGTTGAAGTTACCTGGCTTGAAACCTTATTACGAGAGCTATGCATTCCGGTTACTAATGCACCGATCTTATAGTGTGATAATCTTGGTGCTACTTATCTGTCTGCCAATCCTGTGTTCCATGCTCGCACGAAGCATGTTGAGATTGATTTTCACTTTGTTAGAGAGAAGGTTGCTGCAAAGAAACTCTTAGTTCAATTTATCTCTACTAATGATCAGATTGCTGATATTTTCACTAAACCGTTATCTTCACAGAGGTTTGAAGGGTTACGATCTAAGCTACAAGTCTTTACCCGGCCTTAGTTTAAAGGGGAATATAAGTCAGATATTAATAACAAAGTTATAGTTTAGGGTATAGAATGTAATTGTGTTATCTATATATTCCTCTTGTACACATTCTTTTAATTGATATATACAACATACAATTACCAATATTTAATTCTCTTGAATGTTGATACATATATTTAGTTTGATTTGAAAAAGTCAAAACCATAACAATAGGAAACTATATAACCAACTATTATAAAAACCAAAATAATAATAATTTTTTTACGATTGTTAGCATATCCTTGATAAGAATGCAAAAACCCTAAGATATTTTTGCTGTCATATGAAAACTCTCACCGTCGTCGGCTCTCACTTACATCCTTTGTCCTTCGTTGGACTCTTACTTTTATTCTCTTTCCTCCGGTGACTGTCCAACTATCGGACTACATTAACGATTAGAGGAATGGGGTATGGAATGAGATAAATTACTCACTTTCTCCTTCTTTTTTGCGGGATCACCGTGGAAGATCTAAATTCTCAAGAGTCATATTAGAATGATATTGCTAATTGACATATGATACTAAGGGTCACACTAACAACAACTTGATACGACCGATTATTTATTAGAAATTGACTTTAATAAATATTCATAAACTCTTATAATAATTGGGAAAATATTTATTTCATGGAAACAATTATTTTACAATAACATGTAACATATTATTTCATAAGGTGTGAATTAATAAGTCATGCACATCTTTTTAGACTAGTTGAAACCTTTTTTTTTCTTTTACCTAGAGATAGTTTATATTTTATAAACTTTAAGTTTATAAAATTTAAACATCTTTTCTCTTTCCTACTCTATGGTTCGAAGTATGGAAGAATGAGAGGGGCACAGGCTTTCAATTTGTTTAATCTAAAGTATTAAGCATGGCTGCATACATGGGGACTAGGTGGTCAAAAGTTCTCAATGGTTAAGGCCCAATAGACTTATGCTTTCCTTTAACTAGTGAAAAGGGATTTCTTATGTTTTGGGCTAGTTTTTTTTCTTCCCTCGAGAATTGTTCTTGCAAAAGGCACAAAGAGTTCTTACTTATTACATGCTCTCTTGAAGATAAAAATTGGGTTTTATTCTTCAAGCTTAAGAGTTGATCAAAGAACTAGCATTCTCTTCAAGTTGATCAATGTTGGTGTCTCAAAGTTCATCCATCTTCTTTAACATCCAAGCCTCCCCTAGAGGACCCAAAGTTCATCAAAGGTTGTTGTTACTTCTTCCTTCTATGGTTGTGTTGTTCTCTTTCCATAACTTGATAGAAGATCATTGGTGGGTTGTAATGTTTTATTATGTTCGAAATTTTAAGACTTCCGTTGCTAATACTTTGATTTTTTAGAAACTATTTTTGAACAAAACTGAACAAGTGGTATCAAGAGCCACCTTGGAAGTTTGGTTAGATTTTTAGATTAATGGAAATCTTAGTTTTTGGAGAATATGGATATCTTTGTATAGTTTAATAACAAGTTCATACATATTTTCTTTGACAACTTTTTAATTGTTATATTTGGTGACAAAAACTTACATGCATTTTTTGTCACTTAAAGTTGTCTTAGAAAAACAGAGATTGTTTTATTTTTATATGTATTTTAGAGTGCATACAAAAGTCTTGTACCATTTGTGTTGTTTGTGTGATTTGTTTGAAAATGGTTCGTAATATTCATTTATTCATAAAAGTAGTCAATTTTAATTCTTTTCATTTTGATGTAATAGATTAGTTTTTTACTAGATTTATTTTATGAAAAATGTAACTAGATGAAGATGTAGGCCAATTTTAGAGACTACAAGTGGAGACCACAATTTTGTACGGTTTTTATAAAAGTTCATATTTTTTATAAAAATCTTATGAAATTGCAACAAACTTGGTTGTTATTGCAAGTGGGAGCTTGAAGAATACTTTAAGATCACATGAAGAATACTTGAAGATCACTTGAAGATGTAACAAGTTAATGCTTTAAAATAAAAACCCATTTTATTAAAAATGTTAATAACGACAAATTTTGAAATAGTAAAACATAAGTCTAAAAATTGTGATTTTAAAACTTATACAAACTCCAAGTATTTTTTAATGAAAGGAAGTTTTATTAAACAATATTAAAAGGTTCTACAAGGCACAAACTCAAACTTAATATTGGATATTATCGTTAAAATTGAATTGGTCAAAATATAAAAACCGGGTTTTATATTTGAACCTCAAGTGTGATTTTTGCAAATTGATATCATGATTAATTGGATGTATGCAATTATCATGATATCATATGTTTTAAATTGAATAATAAAACATCCAAAAAACCTTCAAAATGCAAGTCTAAGCCATCCAACTTTAGAAATATTTGCACACATTTGTATAATACTCGTGGGATAAAGGATACCTAACCATTTGTGTTATCTTTTGGTGGCCAAAGTATTTTTGTGATTTCTATAACCAAGTTATAGGCCAAGTATACAAGTTTCTCTACATGGATGACTTGATTGGAAACCTCTTGTGATAAAGGTCACCTAAGCAAGAGTGTTCCAAGGCATAGGGGAAACCAAACATGTCAAATTAACAAACAAATTGTTAAGGGTCTCATACATATAGGAATTACAATTGGTGTAATTAATAGAAGCTATTTACCTTGTTAAAATTAAGTAAGTGGGATAAATGTCACCTAACCATGTATTTAATTTGTAACTTGGATCTTAGACTTTAAATAAATAATGTTTTTGGAAACAAAAGGGTATTATTTTTAAAGAATTAAATACTAAATAATTCTTTTATAAAATTTTGTAGATGGCTCCACCATCTATATAACACATCATCACACCATGAACCTTCTATCCATGATTGAAAATGAAAATTTAGGAAACTCCAATTTTTGTATTGGCATAGAAATTAGAGAATCGTTTTAAAACAAGAAAAGAAAGACTATGTCCTTGAATCGAAAGTCCCGGAAGAACCACCTTCTGTCCTAAAGGTTGCACATGATGCTTGGCTTAAGCATGTGGATGATTCACTTGATGTTTCATGTTTTATGCTTGCCACCATGATTCCTGATCTTTAACGGGATTTGGAACTCTTGGCCGCCCTTTACATGATTGAACATCTCAAGCAGATGTTAGGTGTAACATCCATAAACTTCCAGCCTGTTTAAAACTTTTTAAGTCATTAAAACCATTAAGTTATTACAATTCTTTTTTTCAAAATAGTTTGTACATCAGAGTTCCCAGAAATCAAAATCATCAATCGAGGAAGTGTATGATCACGCCTTCACCTTCCCGCGGTCATCCGCTGAACCTGAAACTATAAACTGAAATTGTAAGATCGAAGGCTTAGTGAGTTACCCCTCAAAATACCCATACACGCAATAATACACATATCATGCAAATAAACAAGAAACATACTACGGGTCCAATTAACCATCGGGTTGGAATGCCCCAGGTCCTCAACCATCAGGTTAGAATGCCAACATATTATGAGTCCAATCATCCATTCGGATGGAATACTACAGGCCCACAACCATCAGGTTGGAATGCCCACATACTATGAGTCCAGTCATCCATTGGGATGGAATACTCTTGGCCCACAACCATCGGGTTGGAATGCCCACATAGGATGAGTCCAATCATCCATCGGGTTGGAATACTCTCTGCCCACAACCATCGGGTTGGAATGCCAACATACTATGAGTCCAATCATCCATCGGGATGGAATACTCTCGGCCTACAACCATCAGGTTGGAATGCCAACATACTATGAGTCCAATCATCCATCGGGATGGAATACTCTCGGCCCACAACCATCGGGTTGGTATGCCCACAAACAATCAAACATGTGCACCTATATCAGATAATCATATAACAATCTACATAAACAACATACTAGGGTCCAATCATCCTCGGGATGGAATGCCCTCAACTATCAATCAAGCATGTGCACATATATCAAGTAATTGATGAGTTTTGAGCATTCTAACACTCCTAAGTGTACATGCAACCCTAGACAACCTTGGATCTATGTTTGACTAAAATACATGCAAAATATGATTTCCAAGGTTCATAATCCTATCTAGCATACATGGGGAACTTTTAATCTAAAAGATGGATAGAATTACATACCTTGTAGTTGATTTGATTCCTTGTAAAACCTTGAGAGCCTAGCACCCCAAGTGTGACGCCTCAAATGCTTCACACAACACAAAATGCTTTGGAATAAATTAGAGTATGTATAACACTTGTATAAATCGGCTTAGCCCTCTTGCAACCACTTGTGTAGCCGGTTTTAGTAGATGACATGTTTTTGATATAGTGTCACATCTAGGGTTACACCATGTAAACCCTAATGTGACATGACTCTTCATTTCCATGACCCATGGGTTTGTAACTCCCATGAGCATCCATGGAGCATCCTATGGGTTTAACCCAACTTGATAATCCATAGAGCCTTTTAGCCCACTATGCAAGTTATGGATGATTTACATAATCAACCCATATATTTAATTAGTTATCTTTTGATCACTTAATTAATTCCAAATTAATTCTTGATCAATACTAATTAAATAATACTATTAATATATTAGAACTTATAATATATTAATAAACCACAAGTGTTATTTCTCTCATTTAGTCTATCCAAATGCATGATGCCATGCAACCCAAATGGACCATGCCGGGTTGGGTCAAGTACATACCAAATATAGTTATAGACTTAGACACCTTATCGAACAGTCTCCCACATGGATAAGTCTAATAACTATATTTGTAAGTATGACTTCAGGAACCGATCAGCAATCGTTGCTCTTTCTAGGTCTCTCGGAACTAAGAAGATGATGATATGCCATTTTAGATAAGTGATCATATAATCCTTACTTCTAGATATCAGCCAGACAAATACATGGAACAATGTCTTACTTATTGTCCAGTAGTTTGTTTCCCGATTTCCGATTTGTTTGACAAAGAACTTAATTGAACACATCAATTTAGTTCTGACCGGGCCCGGTACATA